GTTTGACCTACCACAAACAATAAATTTATAATCTTATCGTGAATTATCAATTTCAGAGGCCTGTAAAATAAATCCTTGGAACTTAAACAACCTCCCTAACTCATATTTTATCCAATCTGCGTGCTGTTCTAGCTTCATTTTGTCTCGTTTTGATATACGGTGCTCATCCTTTGTATAAGACATATGTATCTGTGAGTATTTGGAGTCGTGATATACACATAAATTGTAAAAATTGTAGCAAAGATGTTGCGCCTTCGTTACAAATGTAGGCAGCAACATAAGCTGCAACTGTCAGAATGCCGCTGTACATTTTTGCAACTATGTTCCAAATTAAGTTACTCGAGCACTCGTTATCATTTTGTTTGAAGCCACCGACACATCGTTGTAACAGTTCTTCTTCGCTCAATCATCCTTTGTATAAGACACATATGTATCTGTGAGCATTTGGAGTCGCGATTATACACATAAATTGTAAAAATTGTAGCAAAGATGTTGCGCCTTCGTTACAAATGCAGGCAGCAACATAAGCTGCAACTGTCAGAATGCCGCTGTACATTTTTGCAACTATGTTCCAAATTAAGTTACTCAAGCACTCGTTATCATTTTGTTTGAAGCCACCGACACATCGTTGTAACAGTTCTTCTTCGCTCAAGCCTTCGTAAATTGGACGAATTACATTAATGACAGCAACTTTTAGCGGAGTAGAATGATTATGTTCATTCAATTTTTCTTCTGCTTACGCCTTGGTAACACGTTCTTCTGCTTGGCAACACGAGAGCATACTTCGCTTTAAATGCCTGCGTCTGATATTTCTGTGAAATTCCGACTCAAATTTTGACAAAATATTGTTAACATTATATTGAACTGCTTATATTGAACTACTGACTCTTAAATTGAACAACCACCTGTTTTAATTTGATTTATTGAAAGCAAGATAAAATTATTAAATACATTAGTAAAAATAGTTAGATTATACAAAATATTTATTAAGTGCGAAATGGTGGTTAAAATATTATTAAGTACCCAAGTACTTTTTTCTATTTACTGCTAAATGAGGCAGCACTTTTTTTTTATTGTATAACAGGTCATACATCTTTTCGTATTTAACACATTAGCGTGGTCGGGTATTTTTTCAACTTAAATTACTCCACGTCTGGCCATTTTGTCATTTTGATGAGATTTTTGAATTCACAATAAAACAACTAGTTTTTCTTTATGAACATTTATATTTTTAATTAATATTGCTGATGAAGTGAAAATACATTAATTAGAACTTTTTTAATGTGATATTTTGTAAAGCATATGCCAAGGTTTAATGTTAAGTTAGAAAATTTGCTTTCTTTGTTATTCATAACACAAATATGTATGGAACACGGAAAACTTTTTTTCGAAGAAAAATCTACAACGTATTTTATTATTTACACTAACGGTGAAAAACAGACAGAATACAGACACAGGCTACAGTAAATTCTCTACAAGTGTCAGTCAGTTTGGATTCTACAAGTGTCAGTATAGATGGTCCTACGCCTATGTTATCTCGCTCGCTGTCAGTCAAGCGTGTAACGCTACACCACTCGGTTTCTTTTACGAGATTTCACGGCTCGACAATTCATAATAGAAAAATATAATTTCTTTAATTTTACTTTTCTTCATCTGAAATTTTTTTTTAACATGTTGGTGAGATTTTTCTGATAAAAATGATATCAAACACGATATAATTTGAACAACATTTACTTATTAACACGGACAGTGAACGTGTTAATATGTAAATGTTGTTCACATTATGTCATGTTTGATGTCATTTTCATCAGAAAAATCTCATCAATATGTTAAGACAAATTTCGGGATAAAAAAACGTAAAATTAAAAAAGTTGGTATTTAAATCGCTCGGTTGCCTCGACTCACGTTTCATCCTTATCTTTTATTCGCTGTCCTTGTCTACGTTCGGCAAACTACAAAGGCGGGCGCGAGGCTCGAAAACGTAGTCCCTGACTCTACAAGTGTCAGGTTTAGGTTCCTTGCGGACTGACACTTGTGGAGAATTTACTGTATTGCACGATTTGCATAGGCAGACTGACTCGCTTTTGTTGCTCGCCTCTTATTTATATAATATCTACCTAAATGTTTCGGGAAAGTTTTCAGTTATTCCAAACAAAACAAAAGTGAATATGTTTATATATCTTTCGCGGTTCGAGAAATTTCCCGAACGCTCTCGAAAGAAAGAGAAAATTCCTTACAAATAACACATTCTTTTGTCAGAAATTTCTTCTTTTTTGTGCTTGATATAGGCACCAACATATGCTTGGCCATTTCTCCAGATAACTTTTATTGCGGATCTTTAGTACTTACTAGTATGGTTTTTCATAGATATTAAATACATATGTACATATTATACAGTTTCGTCGGATACGCTTTCAGTATCTTCCAGCCATTACAACGTGTAATAAAAAGTCTTCAAATTTTGGCTTACTGTTGTTATTTAATGATTTAAAAATGATAAAGGTATTGAGAAAAGAAATTAAAGTCACAGTGCAGTTACTGCTTACGTATTGCATACATTGTGTTATGTATCTTCAGTGGCACTAAATGTCAAATAAAGTATAAAAGGAGATATGTACATATCTCGTTTCTCGACGGCAATGTGTTAAGTACCAATTTTTTCCATTCTTTTTATTACTCCTTGGTAATGAGTTTTCGAAAAAAAGAAAATTTATTTGTCACGTTTAAATTATTGTTGAACGAAGAATCTTCTCTTTCTGTTTCCTTGCACCATAAAGAAACACAAATTATAAATCAGATGAAATATCGTTGAAGACGTGATTGACATCTGACTCAGTCGTAAATAAATAACACAACGATGGTAAATGAAGAGATTTTCTTCTTTGTATTCCACGTGTGCGCGGAGTAATGGCCATGACACGATCTTTTGTGGTTCTAGTTAGGAATAATT